GGTTGAGTTGTCGTACGATGGCAGGTTCTTTGAATTTATCCCCGTTCTTTAGGTATGATATTTCTTTTTGATAAGTTATTTGTTGAGTTGCTTTTAGTAACAAATTTCTGGCTTCCAGCATTTCTTTTGTGGTGAGAATGTTATCATTATACGCTTCAGGTGTTTTCCACTTTCTTGCAAAGAGGACAAGAAGGGCAGTAATTCTGACTACACGTGTTAGGGTGCTGTATTTTGTTAACTCAATGATGTTCAGTATGTTGGGATTTTCTTTAATATCTGCCATCATTGTAACTGCCAATTGTGGGTTCTCGTACTCTGTGTGGATTGATGATGGTTCGGGTTGTGGAGGCCATGTGTCCTCTGGGTTTCTCAGCCATGGAGGCCCTTGAAACCATAGCTGTTTCTTCTCGTTGAACATTTTGGTATCAAGTCCCCGAGTCAACAAGTCGGCTGGATTCATCGATATTAGGCAAAATCGCCATATAGTCGGGGATGTTATTTCTTTCATCTTGTGGACTCGTGTACTAACAAATTGTGGTAATTGTTTAGTAGACGATATCCACGATAATACTATTTGGGAATCACTCCAGTATGTGACTTCGCATTTGGTTTTTGTAAGTTGTAGTGTCTTGGTCAGATATTCAGATAACTGCGCCTTAAGAGTGCTGCTAACAGTTCCAGTCGTGGAAGGGTCTGTGTTTTAATAGGTGCAACTTTGGTTTTAGCCATAACGAACGCAGTGTATACTTCAGCTCCTGATTTTCATCTTAGTTAAGCCACTGCTCCGTAAGCTAGTTGGCTGCTGTCGCAAAATATATGAAGTTGCCGTGTAGAAATGTCTGTGAGGAAGTATGGTCTGGGTATTTCAATCGAAGTCAAATTGCTGATATCGCTGATCCAGTTTAGCCATTGGTTCTCATGATCGCTTGGGACATCCTCATCCCAGCTTAAGTTCTGTTTCCATAGATCTTGGATCATGATCTTTGCTTGGACTGTAATGGGTTCAACATATCCCAGGGGATCAAACAACTTTGATGCAAAGCTGATCGTGGATCTTTTAGTAAGTTTTGTGAAAGCTTCCGATTGTTTGATCATGTTTTCGAGTGAAAGGGATAGCGTATCGTTCGTTGAGTTCCACGTGAGTCCTAGAATTTTTGTTGTTTGAGCTGCATGTGCATTATCATGTTGTGCTCTGCGATTTAAAGCGATTGAGTTAGAGGTCCACTGTCGTAAATTCATGCCTGCTTTTTGTAGATAATTTCGCGACAAAGAATAATATTCTAAGGCTTTATCGTGGCAATTAGTTCCTGTGACCACATTGTCCATATACATGTTCTCTGTTAAGTCTTTCATTATCCAGTTATCGTTTTCGTTAAGGTGATATCGTATTGTCGCGTTTAGTAGAAAGGGTGAGGGAGCTGCTCCAAATAGAACGCGGCAAAATCTGTAAGCTTCCAAATTGTCCGCACTGTTAACGGAATTGTTCGTATCTTTTAGCCATAATAATCTAGTAGCGTCTCTGTCTTGGTTGTTTAGTTCGATTTGAAGGAAAGCTTTTTCTATGTCTGCCGCGAAGGCAACTCTGTGGGTCCTGAACTTTAATAGGATACCAGTTAGATCCTGCATTAGATTTGGACCTGTATGTAGACAGTCATTTAAACTCAATGCTTCTTATGACACTCTGGCAGATGCGTCATAAACTATTCTCATCTTAGTTGTCGCGCTATCCGTTTTAAAAACAGGAAAGTGCGGGATGTAATGTAAAATGCCTTCGTGAAGATTGAGGTTCCTCACTTTCTCTATGAAACCGAGATTGACTTGTTCAAGGAGTTGTTCGTTGTATTTCTCAATAAGTCCTGGGTCCTTCTTGTTGAGGCTGTTTAGTAGACTGTTTAACCGTCTTTTGCTTAAAATGAAGTTTGTTGGTAGATCTTGTTTGTTTTGCTTCCATGGGAGTCTTACGTTGTATCTACCGGTCGCTTCGTTAAATCGGATGGTTTTCTGAAAGTCTGTTATGATATCGTCGTTTTTGTCGCTTTCTTCTGGTATCTTGCTGATTTCCCAGAACTTGGTTAATAGGTTATCGAGTTTTGACTCTTGTACTGGCGTTATTTCGATCCTTTGGCACAGTGTGTTTAAGTCGTTCTCGTGGTTGCTCTCGTTTTGAACGGGTCCGGACAGGAGCCATCCGAATTTGCTTTCTATAATAGCAATCAAGGCTTCGTTTTCAGTTTTGATTATTTTTCCAGTAATCAGCTGACCGTAATAGTCGTTTCCAATGATGATATCAACGTCAAGATTTTCTGGTGATTGCAGACGATCTGCAAGTTTGAGTCCTTTCAATGCAGGAGGTATCTTAAGTTTTTCCATGACTGATAGCGGTGGGCAAATAATTGGAGTTACTAGTGCTTTTATTGTGATATTCTCTGTTTATGTCGATATCGAGAATGAGACAATATCATATGTTTTCCTGGTACTTTGAAATGAGCCGAAAGTAGTTACATCCAGGAGTTCTTTTCCCGTTGGTTTCAATTCAAGTTTGTGCGTCATATCTTGAGTAATAAAGGTTCTTTGTGATCCCGTATCGAACAGGATGCGAGCTTGACGATATTGTTTGCCGGCTCCACGTATCTTTGTGACGGCGAATTGCATCAGGATATGATTGGTAGGATGAAGGGAATGTGTTGCTCCCATGTGGGTTGTGTTTTTTGCTGTGGTATGTGTAGGTGGCTGACTACTGTTTGAATTGCTGTTTTCTTTCATCTGATATGATGAACTTTGGTTTGGATTCTCTTGTTTTTCTTTGCAGATTGAAGTATGGTGTTTTCTCTTACATTTCATACAACGACCTTTTGAGTAGCATTGACTTTTCGTGTGTTTGAGTCCAAGACAGTTTAGACATCTTTGTTGGCGTTGAAGGATAGATCTGCGTTCTTCTACTGATGTGATTTTATCGCATCTCTCTGGGCGGTGTGTTTCCGCGCAGTAAGTGCATGGGCGTGTTACTTTCGGTTTTCTGTTGAAAACTCTTTGTTTTTGCTGAGCATTGGCTAATAGAGTGCCAGCGGTTGGTACGAATACTTCTCCGTCCATTTCAACAGATGTGGAATCTTCTTGAGAGGATATGTGACTTTTCTCTCCTGTTTCAATTTCTTGTCTTATGGCTACCCTCTGTGACGATAAAGTTTTCCGCCCCAAAACTGGAGGACTGAATCTTCGCGGACGGCACAATAACAACTGGGGGAAATAACTCTGTAGAGACGACTTGGCAACGAGAACGGAAACTCGTCACGATTTCCTGGTACACGGAGATCTGCTTCGAGCGAGCTTATACGGACGTCAAGGATAAGACAATCTTTGGTTCCACAGTACTTTTTTTCTAGGTCAGGCCAACAAGCGACATGACCTCTAGCATACTCTAGTTTGTAATCATCAAAGCTGTACAAGGTACTTGCTTAAGAAGTAACTGGTGCGAAGTGCTATTGTTACACGAATCGCAATATTTGGATAAGGACACAAAGGAGCGGAAAAAAGTCTCTTTGAAGCTAAACAAAAACTACTTAAATATTCCATCTGTTTCCACGACGGAAAGAATCTCAAAATTAAAAAGACGGATGCAATAAACTTTAGGCCATTAAAGTAGGAAACCTAGGTGCGAATTTACAGCACTGGTATAGAAAACAATACCTATCTTAATTGCAGCAGCGCAGCTTAGGAAATAGAAAACGGAAAAGCAATTAAAAGTTTCTGCTTATTTGCGCAAGATTGGTTTGGAAACCATCGCATGAAAAGAAATTAGATTTACGCGTTTAAACTCAGCTGCTATCTACCATGAAAACCAATGTTTCCAGAAAGACCATTAGCACTTATATTTACCTAAAAAAAACCCATGTACTAGATGACAAAAGTGCCGACAAGCAGGTGCATATGATGAAAGCGAGTAACAACAAAAATCTATTCAAAAGCTACTGTGGTTTTTATGCATTTTTTGATTTATTGAAATGAAAGGACTTGAAATGGTTAAATGTGAAAGTTTACGAATAAATATGTTCCGAATAACACACACGGGAAAATCAGTAAATTTTCCCGTAACACCTCAATCTATCCAGGGAGCTGTCCGCTAAAGGATCCGCTCTGAATATTAAGCAGCGTATGTCCTCGGGTATTTTCTTTAGGAGTATGGGAATTAGCAAACTACCATATGATTCTGTCATTATGCCAAGTGTTTCTAAACCACGAATATTGGCTTCGCATGTATCGTGAAATTCCCTTAAATTTTTAATGTCACTTGATGGCGCTCGGATCTTGGATAATGATTCCATGTAAGCGTTGGTTAAATTTTGGGGTTTGCCAAAGCGCTCTTTTAATAGCTCAGTTGCTTTTCTATAATTTTCTTCAGTCAATGGAAGCCCGGAGATAGCGCGCGCTGCTTCTCCTTTAAGCATTCCATTAAGATAATTCATTTTTTCAACATCACTTAGTTCAAGGTTTTTATCGATAGCTGCACTAAAGCTATCCCAGAATGTGAGCCATTCAAGTGGATCTCCTCCAGAGGATTTGATGTTTATCTTGGGTAGATTAATGTGCATTCGAGGCGTTGGTGTTTGTTTGAAACTACTGTTATGGAACTGACTCACCGGCGTTTCTTGTTTACTCTTGAGAAATCGTTTGATTCGGAATTGCCAGTCCGATATATTGTCTTGAAACAATAGGGCTGATTCTGTGTCTTTTAGTATTTCTGGCTCTGTCTCCAAAGCCATTACAATTTTAGCATCCATGTGCGCTATTTCCCCAGCTCTTCGTGTGAGTCTGTCCACAAGTGCCTCTAATTCAGCGGGATCTGAATCCTTTGCAGCTATGAGTTTTTCTGCTTTTTTAAAGTCTTACGTACAGTGTCCTTTGTAGGCTCCTCGGATCGATATCATTTTGGTTATATCCTCTGTCATCCTGGTCACGGCACCAATGTTACAACTATTGTAACTACGAAGTATCACGCGATGGTCAAGACAGCTGTGTTGTTTTATTCATAACTTAGAAGTACAGTCCAAGTCGGAAATGTTTTCTTTCGCTATTCAATAATCTATGATCTATCACTTAATTTATGAAGCAAAATTTGACAAAAAAGTTGTTTAAGTATACAATAACGCAAACTGAGCCAAAATCGAGCAATCCATACAGTGATAGTTTTTTTTAACTTTTGCTATTGAAGCAATAACCCCGGAGGAGATCGGCCTCCGAACGTACAAAAGATGCAGAATAAAAAGATCCCCAGTGTTGTTGATTTTAAACACGCATCAACTTTGTTTTAATCAACATCCTCAGATAAAGTTACTCACCGTCAGCTTCTTGAACAAGCTCAAAGTAAGCTTTCTCGTATTCTGCTTTTTCAATCGTCACAGTCAATTCCACATTCTCTTCACCACCGGCACGGGTCTTCATTTCATCAGTCACAAAAAAGTTAAATAAACGTTCCCTGAGCGTGCCATCCTCGTACATGTTCCACAAAGCAGTGAGCCCCGTGAGATTGTCGACCTGAATTGTAAAGCATACGCACCCTTGACTCACTTCAATCAATCTTGAACCAGCAGGAAGCACACAACCCTGGAAGCAGGTGACTAACTGATCATAAGTTGACCAGCGAGTCAAAATCTCACGGACAGTGAGTAAGGTTATTCCCGCTGCTGCCACTCCAAACACTGTCTTCATGTTCAGTACTGAAACAAATGGCACTAAATTAGATTTTGAATGTTGATATTTAAAATCATTTTTGGTGGTAGTCTGGCGAAGATCATTGTAAACAAGCTGGAAACATCGAGGGATTTTGTTTTGCATTACTTGAATCCGATGACTTTTTTTTTCTTTTTTTTTTTTTGTAGTTTGCGAGAAAACATACCGTCCCTGACGACGTGATCGCTCGGTTAACCCAAATTAATCGCAGTCCGATGCAAATTATGTCCAAATAAGTGTCTGCGGAACTATGTTATCTAAGAAGCAGACTGTCCGATTTTGATTTACCTCTGGGTTCATTTTTGGGAAATATGACTGTAGAATCTTAGAAATCTCGCCCGAATGCTATTCTTCAGCTTGAAGCAAGCATTTCAGCCTCGTGACCCGATGAAAGCGGCAAAACTCGAAATTGGCAGATTTTGACTGAACGTTTCGTAAAAGTTAGGCCGTTCCTTTTTCTTCAACCATAGGTTCATTCTGAATGTGTATAAGCACAGACGGCCCAAGCTCCAGCTGTGAGATGATCATCCTGCGCAATAACAGTCATGGCGGAATTAGAAGAGTTTGTATGGGAATATTTACGAGCGCTTTAAGGAATGAAAGAATACGTCAAATTCTCAATAAAAATACCTCATCTTACTTCCACGGCGTATCACTTGCTATCTGACCGTTTACTTAGATGAAATGAACCCATTTTAGCGAGTTGTCCATTTTAAGGTTTTCTACGCACATAAGGAAAGCCCAAGGCTGAACACTCCATTTCCGAACGCCCGATCCGAGTAACGAATCAAAGTGCTCTGAGAGCAAACTCGTGAATTGACACATGATTCTTTGGATTATGTTTAATGTTATCTGGTTTAGGGAATTTTGTGGTTGATTGTCATATCTAGAGTACGAGCAGTAGTTCAGTGTTCGCTAATGTAGCAAAGAAACAAAGTAACGTTGGGATAAGAAGGCATTACAATTGAAATGATCATGCTATGACATTTGACAAGGGTGGATGATGTCGTGTTTTAAACGTATATCATTTTTGTTTCTGGTTCAAAAGAAAAGGTTGGAAGTAAATGTGGGTGAAAAGTGAAATTTACTGTCTATCATTGTAAATATTAGAAAATCAAGGCAATACTATCTTAATGAAAACATTAACGATTCCCTCTTTATCAAATGAGACAAACGGGAACGAGTTTTGAGTGATATAACCAAGCCAAGACTGCCACTGTCATTTTGGATCTCCGCCTGGGTAGATTTTAGTCACGTGCTAGGCAACGTATAATCAATAACAAGATAGAATTTCATTTCAAGCCTATTTATCAATTTTGTGGTGTATAACTTTCGCATCTTAGTACGTAATATGTATTTTGAATCTTCAAATTGTCTTGAAACTTAAAATAAAATTGTTCTTTAAAAATTTACTGAAAATCGGTAGCTAAAATTGTTTGTTTAGGTGTTATTTGATCGTGTTAACTTGTAATTTCGTCAGTCGCCGGCATCTTTTGTTGCTTCACACAGGAAAAACACACGATACGAAACGTAATGATCGATTTTGTCCTCAATCTCACGCCATAACAGAAAAAGCTTTTGATCACCTGTAAACTCCGAGCGCTTCGCAGTAAGTGATATTTTCAATGAATCTTCGGATTGTTTTTAAGTTCAAGGGTTGTAAATTACAATTTTATGAAAAACGAAGGTTGTTCTGTTATTTCAGTGTGAATCCTTGCATGCCTGCCAGTTGCTGGCGCCGCTTGTTGAAACTAAAACGAAAAAAAATCTCTTTTAAGATTATCATTGGCTTATTTTTCACCCCACCACTATTCTCAGCAACAAAGGTCGCCATTTCGTTTGTTTATTGCTCGCCAAAAACTATCAAATGCACTCAAAAGCCTAAAATCGAAAAAAAGTTTACAGGCATCGACCAATCGAGCGAGCGAGCGAGTGTCACTCCCCACATCGTAACTACAACTCGCTAGCTAACTCACGAGTTAAAAAATCCCAGCGCAAAATGACCGGGCAGCCACAAATCCAACGCAGAATCCAAGCACATATACTGTAGTTTCATTTCAATTCACCACAAACTCAATCTTCCCCGTACAACCGACGCTAAGCCGCAGTTTGCATCAAAAATTTCCAATTTATAGGTTTCTAACAGCCCGGGTACACATCAACCTTGACACGCGTTCGGAAATGGAGTGTTCAGCCTTGGGCTTTTCTTGGGTACGCAGAAAACCTTGAAATGGACAACTCGCTAAGATGGGTTCTTTTCATCAAAGTAAGCGATCAGATAACAATTATTATTGTTTTTTTAGAGGGCACGGTAACGAATCTTGCAATCTGATTGGTTCTTTACCCGGTCAGTATTTTCCTATCTCTGCCCACGGGCCACGGTAACGCTTTCGTGAGTCGCCGAGTACATCCCAACTTTCGTTGTCATTTTTCATAAATATACCTCGTTCTCCGGCTGGGCAGTATTTTTAAGCAAACACGTCGGTCACTACCTCAAGCCGATAAATAACTTATGAATCCTCTCTTTTCTCTCTATCAAATCACTTTGGTTGACAGAAAAATATTGGTTTCAGAATGAATTTGTATAAACAATATTGTCATTACGTTGGTTGACAAGCGGCCTAAAAACCGTCTGCAATTAATTTTAATCGTTCATAAAAAGTACCCAGAAAGTTGAAACGTGAGGTATTTGGTTACAGTTAAACTGAACGATGGAACTTTCATTCATTTAATATCTGAATTTTCTCGAGCAATTTGTTCATAGTGAAATAGCGAGCGAAGTTTTAATTTAAGTTCTACAACAAATATACGCTCCCAGTGAGTCTTTCCAATTCCGTTCAATTTGGACATTTGTACCGTAAATTGCACAACAGAAATTGAAGGATGTTTTTGAGAAAAGGCCGCATTAAATTCCCTTGTGTCTCGTTGGAGTGTGCCGTTCGAATTTAGTTTTTGTGAAGGAAAGACCAGAGTTAAACACGCCATTACAGCAAACAAACGAGCAAACTCTCACAACTTCAAAATAAAAAAATTGAATTTACTTACAATTACTTTCCTCGCCGTTTACTTAATGAACAGAGGTAAATCTTCGTACATGAATGAATGGTCGATGAGAGTGAATAATACTTTCTGTTAGATCATTGACTGATTTTGAAGAAAACATTGTCGTGACAGTCCTTGCCAAACTAGTTCTGTTGGTTTTCAAATGTTCCTACGCTTTTTTTTTTCTTGCGCGCTCTCTAATTGACAGGTGTCAGATTGTGACAGATACCTGTAAAAATAATGTTTCAAAGTTTGTTTGGAAGCCTTTTAAATCACCTTTATCGTTACGGAAATGAAAATGTTTCGCTGAGGCATCTATCTTTAATTTGCATCACCTCTATTTTAACTACCATTTACTCACTCAAAGATTGTTCAGTTTATGGAAGATCTTGCCGTATTTACAGCTATAAATTATTCGGGTTCTTTCGGAAAGAATTTCGTCAAGTTTAAAAACAATAATTATGTTATTTACCGGCTAAGGGTCGGTCCGTATGGTGAAAAACTGTGACCTCGGTCTTGAAAATGGTGCCCTCGGCCTACGGCCTCGGGCAGTATTTTCAAGACCTCGGTCACAGTTTTTCACCATACGGACCTCCCAGCCGGCAAATAACATATATATACGCTGTAGAAGTAAGGTGAAGTATTTTTTGTACGTATTTGTCGCGTATTCAATGGTTCTCGAGGGGAATATATATAACAGCGTAATATATATGTAAGATTGTACGCCAGCACACAGCATTGTTATTCCTATATATGTTCAACCGTGTTGTAAATCAACTTTCCTGAATAAAAGCAAATAAACTAATCGCGAGTATTGTATGATAAACTCTGCTATATTGATCATTGAAGAAAAACAGTTGAATTAGAGAAGTGAAAGGAATTAGTTGACCAATAAATAACTCTACATTGCGCGACACGCCGGGTAAGCCGGAAAACAAAAGGCAGTCGACCGTTACAAGGTGTTGATAGGCTTCTGCGACTCCTGCTCATTCGCTAGCGCTTTGAAATCTTCTGTCCTCAAAGTTTAGCTGTTATAAAGATATCTTTTAATGGTTTTCCTTTGCGATGTGATAATAACGGTTAGTTTTAAGGTGTCATTTCCCCATCTTTAGGTTCTTGAGGTTTGGCAAAGCTGGATGAAATTGTGTCACGAAAGGCAATATAAATTTTCTTCTGTGTGCGTTCGTTGTTTTAAAGTGCACTTTCTCTGCCGCGGAAAATGACTCCGGTGGTACGTTTCTCAAACATTCATATACGTATCCTCTTTTCTTTAAGCGTCTCATGAAACTCTGTACGTTTTCTATTAAACGTGGAGCGTGACGAATTCGTTCTTTGCAGGCGAAGGGCTTCTTTTGTGTTTAGGCCAGGTGGATGACACGAAAAAAATTTCGTGTATTAGGTCTTTGTAATGCGTTTAATAATATATAACTCGCGTCTAGGAATGAATTCTCTGAATTTGTTATTGTTCACATACCCATCGGCTGTGAATGTAACTGCTGCCATTTGTCTAGTTTCTAAGGTAAGACTGCAGTTTTGATTCTTTCTGAACCTCGTCAGTTGCCTCCTAAGAGCGAATTCGTCACGGAGAAACTACAAGAGTCGCGCAGGCCCAAAAAAACTGTTAAACTTTGGAAGGAACGGCAACAGACAGTGAATCCTAATTCACGTTATCTCGCTGCCACCAAAGATGTTCACTCGACCGCGGCAGGATGCAAATGACTCACTTTATGTATAACGACCATGATGCAAAGTAATCAGAGTGCGCACATCCCCTGCATCATACCTAACTTTTAGGTGGACAATGAACACCTAGTGTTTATTGATGGACACTCTGAAAAGACCCTAAATTATTACTTAGTCCGCCTTGACAATTTCC